AAGTAAATTCTTTAATATCTCTAGTTTCAACTTATTTTTCTGAGAAGCCTTTTAGGGAAGGTTGCTATAAATTTAACAATAAAAATGTAGTCCACCGACCTTGTAAACAGCTAGATAATATGTATTTTATGTAGCATTAGCTTTATTATATGGCTCAATGGGACAGTAGTGTGCTTACAATATGTGGGCTTGAGTATTCTATAACAAATCCTTTTTTAAAAGAACAGTTCTAACAAACATACCTCTGTAATATTTTCTCCAAATTCATTTCATGTTTAGTTATGTTTTTATAGTTTTAGGTTAGTTTTCTTGAATTATCCAACAAATAATATGTTAACCAATTTAACCCAAAGGAAAAAAAATCACTGATAAATATACATATTATGAAGATATATATATTTGAAAGTTAACATAATTTTTAATTGTGATTGATGATAATTATATTTTACTATGATGAAATTATTTGATCTGTGTACTATAAACCCATTGTGTACTATAAAATGCATAGAATATGTTATTTTGAATGCTAGAAATGTACTAATCTGGCAATATTACGCCATAAACCTTCTGAAGCAATTTTGAGACGTTTTAGTAGGTGATACAAATAGTGTAACACATTTTCTTCCCTTTTTTACATCTGTAATAGTAATCAGACTTGATGTATGAAAAGAATTAGTGTGTGAAAAGACATATTTTACACTACTTGCTCATGGACTAGTTCATTTGTTACACTAGCAGATGTCGATGTCATCAGTGACTTAGCACTTGGGCAAACGTGTCCTTAGCTCAGAGATCTTTGGATTAATAAATCAGTGCAGAATATGGTGCTCTTTAGAGATGAGAAGAACAAGGACACGATACCTTTTGAAAAGCTTGATTTTGCTCGGTACTTGAAGTTCTCTGTGCACTACACACAGGCAGCTTGCTCCTGCTTTTCTTCAGTGAGATGTCCGCTCAGAATCTTCTTGTTCACTGCATACCTGGGCTCTGTGCGGTAGATTCTACGAATCGTGCCGTCCCAACCCATATGCTAGCATGGGAATCTTCTTGACTAATTTACTCACCTGACTATATATTCTGGGCTTATTATAAAATGTAATTAGCTTTAGGTGACTTTTATCTGGCTATCTTGCAATAGAGAAAGATGATTTAGGCTAGAATATAATACTTTTGAGTGATAATGTAATTCCATTTTCCACTGTAATGTGAGACTACTTTGTCCCTACCCTCTAGCCAAAATTAAATGATAGCCATTTTCTTCATGTTTGGAAAACTGACATTAGCTGTGTTTTAAATTTTTACTCTTCCATTGTTTTTGTTTTTGTTTTCTGCAGTACCAGGGATGAAACTTGGGACCTTGTATATTTCTGAAATAAACATTAATACCATATATAATCCAGACTTGATAATTTGTAATCCAGGCTTAAAATAGTTTGGCATTTATTAAATATCTTTCAATAGGTTTTCAAAGCATCCAAAATAGAGTTCTTATATTTAACCTGGTTCTGTTTCACACCTGCTCTTTCAAGTATCTGTTGCATTGTTTAGGTTACAAGTCTTAGAACCATGCCTCCTTTTCTGTCTCATCACTCATTTATGAGTCCTCACAAAACCTGTTGCTTTACTGAAGATACTCAGTATCCTACTTCTTGTCTTATCTGTGGCTACCACCTAGGTGTACCTTACCTACCTTACCTACCTCTTTCCTCATTATTCTTTCCCACTTCTCAGGTTCTTCTGTTTTTGGTCATCCCCTACATCCTGACATCAACTCAGCCTCCATAGAATTTTGTTAAGAGTAATGTGAGACAGGATACTGATCTGTTCAAAACTTTCTAGGATTCTGCATCTTGCTCAAAGTAAAAGACTTACCATTTGTCCTTAAGTATCATTTTTGTTGGATTCAGAAACACTTATCAGATTAGTAAAGCCTGTTCCTGATTGTGGTGCATCAGAAGGGTATGGTATTGGATAGTATATTCTCTCTTTTACCCATTCCTTCCTGATATTTGTTCCTTGTTCTGTTTCCTGGCCACCATGACCTAAGTGGTTTTGCTCTGCTGGGCCCTTCTACCTTGGAGCATCTGTCTGGAAGCCTGCTAATCATGGACCAAAACAATGAGTAAATTAAGCCTTTCTTCTTTTTAATCATGGGTCCTCGGTATTGTGTCTCAGAGATGAGACAGCTTACTGAGACAGAAAATTGGTACCAGAGAAGTGGACTTGTGCTGTGTCTGTACCAGTTCTTGTGGGTTGTAATCCATAGCAGTTGTTTATGGGTGGAGTTTGGAAAGGTTTGAAGACATAGACTATAGGCTATAAAAACTCTAGATTGCTATATATAGAGAGAGCTAGTCAGGGCTTGAAATGGTAGTAAGCTGATAAGAATACAGACAGTAAAGGCCAGGCTCAGGAAGATTAATTTGAGAACAAGAACTTAAGGACTTCTTTCTTATGTAGGTGAATCCCACATATCCTGTGTACTCTGGCAAAAAAATTGTCTACATTTGCTCTTGTCCTGAGTATTTGTTGGACACCTATACTAAGGGCAGCTGACTGATTAATCCAGCAGGGGAAATTTCAAGATAGCCACATATTCAGACTGTGGTGATGACTGATTTTAGCTAGTGAGTAGTGAGAATTGGGGAAAAATACAAAGCAGGAGCAACTTACATTTTGACCTACAAGGAACAGTGCATAAAATTGTGCCAAAATAACTATGGCTGCTCAAAAGATTAGTGCCCTTAAAAGAAAACCAGTTCTGTGCACAAAAAGAAAGATGCCTTGAAGGCATCTCAGGAACCACCAAGCCTTCATCCATTTCAGGTTCAAAGGTGCATAGATGTCAGCTTGCTATTGGCCTTCCACTGTGATAACTCTCCGTTGGAGCCAGCTGATTATGAGCTGAGACTGAGCAAATTAAACCTCTCTTCCCTTAAACTGTGGGAAGTGGCTCCTTTTGCCTTTGATTTGCTTCTCCTCTTTTAATTCTTTCACTTGCCTGACTGCATCTTCCATGGCACGGCCAAGATCAGGGGTGAAATGATATAATGAAAGAAAGTTTAGGAGGGAAAACAAGGTAGAATCCTTTTGTGATTTTCCTTTGGACTTTCGCCTTTTCTTATTGATGAATCATAGCTATTTATGTAAGAAATGCTGTTTTTATTTTGTGTTTTAAATATTTTGTTTGCTTGTCGTCATGAGAGCTTTACTTTGCTGCTTTATGTGCTGCCAGGCAGGTCCTGAGCCTCTGAGCTGTATCCCCAGTCCTGCTTCGGAGCCTTAAATGTCCCTGTTTCTGTCATCTGAAGATGCACTCTCTGCATGCCCTTTTCCACTCAAGACATGTTCAGACTTTTACTTATATTTTCTTGTAGGATATTTATGATTTTATTCACCATTTTTAAAAATGTATGACTTGATATGATATTTATCCTACTGTACAAAGTAATAGATTCAACTTTATCTTTTCTAGAATGTTTAGACCACTTAGTAAATCTTCCACTCTATTCACACCAATTTGAAATGTTCTATTTTTCTCTATTGAAGTTTTGTATACATTACATAATGAAAGAAACATACTTTTTTTCTTTGATTTTCCTCTATAAGAATATGCATTTCTGTTTGTTTGTTTGTTTTTTTGCGGAACCAGGGATTGAACTTGGGCCCTTGCGCTTGCCAGGGAAGTGCCTGTTCCACTGAGCCTTCTCCCTAGCCCAAGAATATGCATTTCCATGTTATCATTTTAATTTCTTTCACTAAATCACTTATTTGAATTATTTTTTAACTTAGTTTGACTTTTCAGAACTGTTATTTCCATACTTTATATATTTTCTCAACCACTATGAAGCATTATGACCTCCATTCCATTAACAGTGTGCTAATAGGTTCAGCCTAAATTTTGCATATTGTAATCCTATTAAGCTGTGATAATATGTAAGTTACTACATTTTGAATAAAGCGTCCTTTACACTATTCCCTGAATTTTTCTATTACACGTATATTAAAGTCCTATCATTTAAATGATTTGGTTCATTGTAATATGAGAGTATAGTTTAACTTTCTTGCATTCATGAACTTTATTATCTTGCCATCCATGCTATAAGATTTTAGTCACTAATTTGTGCCAGATGTATTTATTCTGATTATAATGGAAAACTACTGAAGTTGCGATGATCATGCCTTTTCTGTCCTGGTGGTCTTTTTGTTTGTTTGCTTTTGCGTTTGTTTTTTCTGTCAGATGCAGCAGACGGCTGGCCCTTGTTCCCTGCTTGCCCACATACTTCTGTCTCTCACGTACCCTGCAGCTTCAGAGTGCCTGCTTTACCTGTGCTCTGTAGATTTTTAAGAGGTTGTTAAAATTATTGAAGTTGTAGTTTTCTCATCTGTGTAACGGTGACAACTGTATTTTATTCATCAAGGTACAGTTGGAATCAAATATAACAATTACTGTGAAGCGTTTAGCATGGCGTTTGAAACAAATGAAATACATGGTGAATGTTGCTTAGGGTTAATCATAGCATGAATGAAAGCTGGAACATAGTTAAGGAGAAACCTTATCTGGGACTAATAATTACTTGAAATTTCTCATTGAAGTGAGCTGTGTCTGGGTTGGAAATTTGGTGCTAAGAGTTCAAGCCTGGCCCGTGCTGGAGGAAGCTCAGCTTTCAGAGGATTTACCCACCATCTTGCAATGCAAAACAGATGCAGAGAAATTTCACTGTGCACTTAGATTAGTAATTTGTGATAGTAAGGACATTTACCTTTGGTATCTATCAAATTTTTAATTAAATTTTATGTGTTTGCTAGTATAAGTGTTTTTCTCTTGTAAGTAAATGTATTTGTGTGTACATATTTATATGGTGGAAGCAAAGAAGCAGAAGAAACAAGATACCATCTCCCTCCCTGCTTTCCTCGTTCGCTTCATGAAGCTGCCATCTAATTTTGTAGTTCTGAGTTGGTCCTTGATTCTTGTGACTCACTTTGTCTTTCTCCCTCAGACTCATTCTGAAGAGAGACCATTCCAGTGTGATGAATGTAAAGCTTTGTTCCGGACCCCGTTTTCTTTGCAGAGACACCTGCTAATACATAACAGTAAGTCCTCATTTAGGCAGGCGAGAACAGGACGGATTATCTCAGATTTTGTCCTTAGACACTTTGTGGATGTAGGAACCTGCAAGTAAACCTGTAAGTGATTAGGTAATCTGCTTTCAAACATAATAAATCTGTCTTTTGTCTTTCCTTCCTTCTTCATTGCTTTAGTTATTGTATGGTAAGATGAGTTGTTTTGTGACATTTTATATCTTTTCCTTCCCAGGATTTATAGTTTGTGTATAAAAACCCTACTCATGAAGGTATCTTTGAACTTTGTTTTGAATCCGTGATTTTGTTTACTCTCAAAGATGATGATTTAGGGAAATATTTCTGCCTTTTATAGACACAGTTCTATACCTCAGTCATTTTAGGATTGGAACAGATCAGAGTGCACATCTAATTTAATTCTTCAATTTGAAAGCAACTTTGAATTTTGAGACACAGTGAGATCCTGAGGGTTGGTCCCTGAGAGGTGCCTGCCCCACTACTACCCTGCCTCTGACCTGTTATTTTGGTGGGACTTTTCAAGTTAAATTCTACACAGACACATCATGAAAGTCCAGTGCTTGCATTATTTTTAGAATACTACTGACTTTTTAGCCATATCACTGAAGGATGTGATTTGGAGAAGAAAATGTTATGGGATGGGTAAGGTTCAGAGTGTGCTATTGGTGCAGATGTTGAGATGACCAGATATATTGCCATTCAAATATTGAAGAAAAATGTATACCATGGTTATTCTTTATGTGTCTCACTTTTGAGACATTTAGTATGAAATTTTCCATACATGTGAAGTTCCTGTCTTGTTAAATATTAAATTTCTGAGTCATGTAAGACAATTAATCAATCTTGACAACTGGTTTTACAGAGTAATATTTTGAAAGAAATTTTCTTTGGTCAAGTTGAAGTGTCTAAAGTGAAAAAAATAATAAAGATATTAAGGTTTTTGTAAGTACTGAGTGGTAATGATGATGACGAAATGCAGTCTGCTTCCTCTAGGAAAAGACCACGTTATGCTCTCTGGCCGTTCTGTGTTCACCTTACAGCACTGGAGAAGTTGTTAGCACTTTCTACTCTCTTTATAAAGAACAACTGTGCATTTAAGAAATAAAATTTGTTGTGCAACAGTAGGAATTTCCACTCTATATTATGTACCCATTTGTTTAAGAAAAGTAACCAGATTGAAATGAACGGAATTTGAATAGGAGTTAGACAAGTAAGCCATTTTCATCTTCTTAAAATTTTTATAGCTAAATTTGGCCTGAGGCCAGGGAGATGGCTCAGTGGAATAAGCACTTCTCTGGAAAGTGCCAGGGCCTGAGTTCAACCCTTGGTTCTGAAAAAAAAAAAAAAATTTAGCCTGAGGCACAGGAAATTTTTTCTTTATGGAACCGGGGATTGAACTCAGGCCCTTGCACTTGCCAGGCAAGCGCTTATTCCACTGAGCAATCTCCCTGGCCCTTTTTCTTTGGAAAAATGAAATTTCATCTCTTATAAGAGGGAGGAATTTGGAAGAGAAGAGATCTAATAATTTTAGTTTTCAGTTAATTGTTTCTCATCAATTTGAGAAATAGATCAAAGTAGCTGCATGTATTCTGTGCTGTATGGTGGGTAGTTATTATTTTCTTGATCACAGTAGTTAGGGCTTCATGAAGCTGCATCATGATACTTGACCAAGAAAACCAATATTCATAATGGAATGAGTAAAGGAATTAGGTTAAAAGTTGCACAGCATTGTGGACCAGTGACTTAAAAGGATGGGGAACAATCAACAGCTCAAATAAAAAGGACAAAATCCTAGGTCTTATCTCATAAATCTGATTTAATCCCATTTAATTTCAATAGATGAAGACTGTAACTGGAAACTTCTATCTGTACTCTGATTAAAAATATAAAGTAAAATAATTGCTTCAGAAATTATTCCTCTTTTCTAACACATTAAGATCCAAAAGGCAGGCTGCTGGTTAGCTTTTTTTAAAATATATTTAGTACAAGGTCTAGGTCTCACTACACAGATTGGATCCTCCTGTTTTTCATCCTCCCAAGAGTTGAGATTACAGGCATGCACCAACACTCCCAGTCTCAGTTGCTGTCTCAGTGTGCCAAGGGTGGGGCCAGCACAGCACTTGGGGAATGGAACTTCCCCATCTCTGCATCTGCCTAAGCAGGGGGCTTAATCTGTTGAGCTACCTGGCTAGTCCCTGGCTAGCTTTCTAACCCCTTAACTTTTTATATATCTTGAGAGATTTTTTCTACGGGACCCATATTTTCATAGTTTAGTGAAAATGCTTTGTTAGGAGCAATCTGGAAGAGGCTTAAAAAGTAAATTTAGTACCAGATTTAGTATTGTTAACATTATGACTTAAAATCCTTAGTCAGTTGGTATTTTGTTATGTTCTGATGGGTTATACATTTTATATAAAAACATATTTAAATAAATATAAAAAATACATAAAAGCAAAAGAGTTTACAAGAACAGTGTCCTACAGTAGAAGCATGCGAACGTGACCAGTCACCTTAGCTATTGGTATCCACACAGTTGAGCTCATTCTTAGAACAGATGTGGCTTTGGTCATTCATCAAATGTCAACAAGGTTCTTACAAGAAGAATTCAATTTGAAAAGACAATGGGAAGTTTAATTTTTTCCTTGTTTCTTTTTTGTTTGGTTTTATCTCTTCCTCTATCTCTTCCCTTAAATTTCGAGAAATCCTAGGATCTTTCTATCTGTGCATTTAGTGCTAGTTGCAATAAACGGAAGTTAGAAGGGCTTGGGTGCAGGTGGTAGAAAATGACGTTCTTGGGTCAGGGAGACAGGTCAATAAAATAAGCGTTTGCCAGGCAAGTTCAAGGGCCTGAGTTCAATCCTCGGTTCCAAAAAAAAAAAAAAAAAAAAAAAAAAAGAAAGAAAGAAAATGACATTCTCTCATTTTCAACCTCATAGTTAGAAAGAAGTATTTGTATATTGCACCCTGTAGTCAGTATGATGTATAAATCTGTGCCTCTACGTACTAGTAAAAGGCATTCAGATACTGATCTATCTCACCTATATAATATGCTACTATGGTGTCCTATTATAAAACACTGTCTTCTAATTACATACAGTCATGCTGAAATTATATTTACAGTGGTCCTTTAGATGTTAAGAATTCAAGTTAAGAAGAGTTAAAAAGAGCATTGTATGAAAGTGAAAAAGTACCCCTAAGATCCCTAAACATATTTTCTAGACGTGCTTTCCCCTAGGCCTTAGATAGTAAGAAGGTGAAAACCCTTGCAGTGCCCGGGCTTCTAGGGTAGAGGAGGTAACCGCCACTCTTCATTCCCTATGAGGCTGCCTCACAGCAGCCGAAGGCCCACGTCGGGAGATCTGCAGGCCTTGCTGTGATACGGCAGCGAGGAAGGAGAGCACAGTGTGTACGCCTCTGCCTCTTCCTCTCCAGAGTGAGAGTGGTGTGGTGGGATCTGTTTGTCTGTCTGTCAGCTACTTGGCCCTTGGCTGTTATGTGTGACAGTGCTGTTTCTGTGCTTTTCTGGAAGTTCAGAGAACTGTGGTGTGATTTGAGAGGACCATAGGAGGAGGCCCAAAGGAAAACTCCCCTTGGGTGACAGTGGCTTTGTGTCAAGGCAAGGGACCATGCACCTCTAGCTGGGCTCCTGCTGGAAATCCACACTGTCCAACTTGTTTGTAGTACCTGTAGGAAATTAGCTGAGTCAGCTCTCCCATTTTCCAGGTAGGGGGACTGAGAACTGAGGAAGGTTAAAAGGCTTTCTCTCCTGGTCACATATTGAATTAGCAAATAGAGAACTGGAATGTGTTTCAGGAAAAAAGAAATAAGTACTATAAAAATAACTTTGAAAGGGAATCATAGGACCCTGCTATTGCATCTTCCATTCCTCTTATTTTACATTTTGTTTCCAAGGTGAGAGGACCTTCAAGTGTCATCACTGCGATGCTACCTTTAAAAGGAAAGACACGTTGAATGTGCATGTCCAGGTAGTCCATGAAAGACACAAGAAGTACAGGTGCGAGCTGTGTAATAAGGCCTTTGTCACGCCGTCTGTGCTCAGAAGTCATAAGAAAGTAAGTGCAAGCCTTCTGTGGGTTACAGGTCTAAGGACTGTGGGCACAGACATTACGTGTCATGTGATGGTCTCTTATCAACTTACCAACATCTTTACTCAAAACATAAAGGCATAATAATTTGTACCAGCTCTTCAGAAAACACCCATTTTCTTCATTTTTTGGAATAGATGTGTTTTTCCATAATAACCTTAGAGTTAATAGACATTACTCAGTAACCTTTAACTATGCCTATCAGTAAACCATACTGAATTTTCTGAGTAGAAGCTAACCATTTTTTAAATTTTCGAATTAATGTAGATTTTTTTATTTTCAAAATATGATGAACTTTTAGCTTAGTTACTTTTTATTGCTTATTTGCACATTTGCTGGGAAGTGACTATGTGAGCCCCTCTACAATCGCATTGTTCTTCTCTGTGCATGTGTAGCTCGTAGGGGTTTGCCAGTACCAAAGAGGATGGCATACGTATTTGCTCAGTTGACATAAAGTGCTTTCCTTACTTATAGTGACAGGAAGCTTTTTGCATTACTCTAATTAAATAAATACCTTCAGCATATCGACAGTATTTTTCTTGGTTGGATAAGTGCATGAAGTACATTTTTTAGGTATTATAATTCCTAGTGTAATGAGTACAGTTAATGTCACAGTGTCTTCAGAAATAAATATGCAGGATGATAGTTTTCTACTGCCACTGTGAACAGGTGCTGCATCAACATGCAGAGATGACTCCCACTTTGGTGTGACTTTGGTTTGGGGACCTGTCTTTAGTATAACTTTTTAAAAGCCTCAATTGATCAACTCATTTTATCCTTGCATCTAAAATATTCAACAATAATGATGTATCTTTGCTTTAAAATCTCTCAGTAGAATAGTCTTTCAGATTCTGCTTGAATTACTTTTCTGTGCACTTAACACATTTTTCATTGTTTTAGTACATGAAGAAAGAGACGTAGTGCACTTTCAGGGAAATTTTATCTGTAGCAGTAGATTGTCACAGAGTAGATGCAGGACTGCATTATTCATTTTCATTGCGTATATGTGTCCTATTTTGTTTTTATGGTGAGCTGTTTTCATACTTTTTTATCAATGTTTAAGATGGCTTAGCATTATCAAATGTCATATGAAACAAGCTAACCAAATTCTATGCCTAATAATAAGTTGTGTTTTTGAGTAAAAACAAATGCATAATTATTTTTATTAATATAGCACTGGTGTACTTTACTTCAAAACCCTCTAACGCATACCTTAGCTCTTGTACAGGAAGAATGAAACATGTACATAGCAGGAGAAGAAACTTGTGGATTTTATGAAGATGAATAAATTGTCAGTTACCTGCTTGGCATAACCCATGCTTTCATAATAAATATATAAAGTTTCTAAATGGTCTTATACTAATGAAGAAAAATATCCATACTTTGCCACTTCTGTCAGGGAATGAGAAAATAGGTCTTTTGTACGTTAAAGTGTTTTCTCTTTCACTTTCAATTGAACCTTCAGAGAAAAGGTTCTTACTAGAGTGTAAAAGTGTGTAACTCTTTTGTGTAAGAGCTTGCAGTAAAGATGGAAAGTCAAGCTCTTGCCAAGTGTTTAGCCACGGAGATGCCCAAATGTGGCAATGGAATAGGCTGCTTGTCTAGCCTGAGTGCAGCACAAATCTTTTCAAGGGAAAAATGTCTGGAGGACTGAACTACCTGATATTGACTAAGTTGTTCAGTTTATGTCTCTTACAAAAACGGCAAAGACACTTGCACACATCCAAAATGGAAATTTACACTATCCAAAATATGCAAACTTGCAAATAAAATACCAATAATCTATGAGAGCAATTATGCTAAAATCAACAGTTAATTAACTGTGGAAAATGATAATGTTGTCCTGTTAGTAGTTAGATGACTTTACCAGGGGGCATAGTAAAAACCTATCCCTTTCTCTTTATCTGAGTCAGCTTTTCCTTCTGAGAATGCCCATCTTAAATGTTTCCTCTTCCTTTTCATTAGTTCATAATAATTCAAATAACAGATCACTACCAGTAATTTGCATAAGAACTAATGGAGACACAAGCCCTGGGAACTCTGTTTTGGGAAAATAACCCAAATGACCCCCTGTCTGCTTTTTGTTAATGTTTAGGTTATCATTGGAGCAGATTTCAAAGTATTCTCTAGAACTTTCAGATATTGAAAGGAATTTATTGCCCCATCCATTTTTTTTTTAGCCCACTGAGTTTGAGAAACTATAGGGCTTGATGAGTAGCTTTGACCTCTCGTTTATTGGAATGATCTGTTTTGATGTTAATTTTAAAAAGTAGTCTTCTAATGAGACATTGTGACCAGGGTAAAACATTCCAGCTGTGCTTTCTTTGAGGCGTGGTCACTTTTTAAACTCTCCAGCATTTATTGAAACCCACTTTTGATAACATTTCTTCAGCTTTCCCAGGATGATTGGGTCATGCCTCGATTGAAGGTATACTGAGGATAGAACTGCTTCTTCAAACCTACTGCTCAATTAACACGGGCTGATTTTAAAAGTAAAATTAGATTTATGTTCTTTTTTGCTGTGCATGAAAGGCAGTCCAGACCAACATGAGTAACAGATGACTTCATTGAGATTAATTCTGTTCTCAAGAGTTAAATGTACACCAAGAATGTAAAAAATGCTTCAAAGGAAGTGCTTCTTGGCTGTAGGCAGAGGCAGTTATAGCCCACTTTGATTATGTGGTTTTGTTCGCATGTCCTGGTTTTGTACAGTGTAATCACTTTTAGGTGGAGGCTCCATACAGGCTTAAAATGTAAACTGCAGAATTATTTTCAAATTAACACTAATGCACAGTTCTGTAGGGTTTTGAACCCCTGGAAATACCCTTGATAAATAGTTTAAAATCTCATTGTGATATTAAAACATTTTAATGAAACCTAATCCTGGAAAATAACGATTTACTGTTGTCAGAGGCCCTCAGTCATCTTTGCCCAGTTCCTTCAGTGCTTATCCTCGGCCTTTTTATTGCTTTCCACATAGACACACACGGGAGAAAAGGAGAAAGTCTGCCCATACTGTGGCCAGAAATTTGCCAGCAGCGGGACCCTGCGAGTTCACATCCGGAGCCACACAGGTATGGAAAGTGACGGGGAGGACAACCGCGAGAGAGTTCGTGCTGGAACGGGGTGGGCTGTGCTCTACCGACGTAAATCCAAGATCAGGAATTAGTTTTCCTTAAAGTGATGCAAAATCCACTTTCTTGCTCTGTAAGAATCTTGAATAACTGTGTTTTCCTAAATTAAGTAGAACACCTGAAGTGGGTTTTTTTTTCCCCCAGTGGTTGCTTGTGATATGACACCGACTTATGTTTTATAGGAGCCTAGCAGATAAAACAGGGAATAATAATTTTACTTTCTATTGAAGGCTGCAGGCCTCCTCCTGCAGTCTCTTCTGTAGCTCGTGTCGAATGTTGCCTGGGTAAATTTAGAGCCTTTGCAACGTGACTTGAATGCTGTAGGGTCTCAGTGGATGGAGCGTGGTGTGACTGTAGCACCTGGGAGGCCATGGGGTGCTGCACACGTGCCCTTCTGTTCTTCCTGCGCCCTTCCTCCAGTGGAAGAGGGTGTGCATGTGTGCAGGGTGAGCAGCCAAGCATCCTTAAAAGAACCACGTCTGGATTTTACCCATCATCTACATACTTGAAAAAGGCCAGAAGTGATATTCCTAATTTCCATACCTAGATGATTTTATGATAGTCTGAACTTTTAAGTAGCTAGACTGTAGTTTTATGGTTGCAGTGTAACCAATTCCATATCTGAAGCTTCCTACGCAAGGGCCATAGCGTTTAACCATTGTCTCCCCACCTTGGATAGCATGTAGTACAATAACTATAATGAAGAAATATTAAAGTAAGCCAGAGAATCTACTGTGGCTACTGCTAAGGAATAAAGGAAGGGACAAGAGTGGAACATAATTTATTAGTGTTCAAACTAGGGTTTGCTGTCTTATAATAGCCACTTATATCTGTATGAATGACACACACAACCATGACTAGATCAGGCATAGCCCATGATGTCTGTGGACTACTAAGGAGGCCTTCTCATGCACAGGTTATCGAGAGAAAGCAAGGCATTCCAGACAAAGTCCAGTTTTGCTACAACAGTAGAGAACAATAACAGGAAACCCAGAGAGAAGGAAAGGGGCCGGAGAGAGCCATGTTAGGAACATGTGTGCTTAAAGGCCACATGGCTTGCACACCATGGTGCCTTGTACAAAGGAAGGAAGTTGTTGCTAAGGAAAAACAGAGAATTGTGAAGGCTGAGGCCAGCCCCAGCAGCTTAGCAGGGAAGCTCTGATGTCCTTGGGCATCCTTCTCTCCTGTGTGTGGAGGTGGGGCAGGGTGGAGGGGAGTGAATTTGGGCTGGAAAAGGGTAACAATTAAGTCAATAGCCTTTCTCTTTGTGTTAGTAATCCTTGATAAATGTCTTTGTGCCACATGAAATAAATAACCCACTGTGTGCTTAGTGTGTTTTGTGGGCACATGTTTGTGCTCATGACTGCAATCTGTATACAGGAGAGAGCGAGAAGATAACAGGAAGGCGTTCATCTGCACAGCAGAGTTAAGAATTCAATGACCTGAGATATCATGATGGATTTCAGTTATGTTTGGCGTACAGTGTTTTTTTAACAGGCAGAAACTTTTACTTTTCAGAGTGCATTAAGACACAATCCCAGAATATAGACAGTAGCATATAAAGTTAGTAGTCAATGTGAAAATTTTAAACATTAACTGCTACTTTAAAAATTTGATGGAAATGAGTACCACAATCCTCTCAGCTATCCTGAATATATACTTACACTATTTTCCCCCTTACTGTTTTTTTATCTTTTTAACCTTTCCCTCATCTTCATTGTTTATTTCTTATGGTTAGTTTCTTTCTATTTTACTATATCTGTTATTCCCTTCAGATTTTATTTGTTCTTTCAGGTTCTTGCACTAGGGCGACAATACAATATTTACACATGTGGGTCTGATTTATTTCACTTATGAGTATAACCTCTAGTTGCATCCATTTAACTGGAAGGACTCAACATTTGTCTTTCTTTATAGATGAGTAATACTCCACTGTATAAAAATACCACATCATTTTCATTCATTCTTCAGGTGATGAGCATTTTGGTCGCTTCCAAGATTTTGCTATAAACATGGTTGCACATACATCACTCTGGTATTACATTTCTGGGAAACATACCCAGAAGGGGACTAGCTGGGGTGAATGGGACTTTCAATCCTAGTTTTTTGAGGTATCTCCAGGCTGATTTCTGTAGTGGCTGTACCAGTCTACAGTTCCACCAACAGTGGAGAAGGGTTCCTTTTTTCCTACAACCTCTCCAGCACTTGTTATTAGTTGATTTCTTTATTAATAGACATTCTTTCTGGGGTGAGATGGTATCTCAGTGTTTTAATTTGCATATCTTGAAGTGCTGTGTAACATTTTTTCATGCATTTATTTGCCATTTTTATTTCTTCCTCTGTGAATTGTGTGTTCATCTCAGATGCCTGTTTTTGGATTGGGTCTTTGAATCCTGGGGGCCCAATTTTTTATTTTTTAGTTCTTTATGTATTCTAGATAGAAGTCCTTTGTCTGAGTGACTGTTGATTAAGATTTTTCCCAATTTTGAGTTGTCATTTTACTCTGTTGGTAATTTATTTTGATGTACAGAAACTTCTCAGTGAGATGAGACTCCAGTGCAATCCAAAAACTACAGCCGACTATCCCCCATCTTGGTCTTCTAAGTGTGGATCATTTCTAATGTCTTGTCAATTAGTATTGTCTCTTTAAAGTAAATTTTTAAAAATATATATAAAGTAGAAAAGGACAAGAAAAATAAAGGTTATGGAAAGTAAGCATTAGTGTTTACTTATTATTTGACCAGTTTTACATACCTATATCTGTTAATCTGAATAACAGATCTGACGATGAAAATATGTAATACAACAACCATTGTTAAATTTTTATTCTGTTTTGAAACTCTGCAACACATCATTTGTACTGCCGTTCATTACTGTTTTTTGCTTTTGTTTCTCCTATTTGTTTTTGCTCTTTAAAATAAAATTAAAAAAAAAGAGTTCCTCTGACAAGAGTGCAATTTAGAACTCTGAACCTCTGCTGGGAACATTCTGATATTTAGGCAAAAATAAAAATGTTTGTGAATCACATGAGTGGATTAACAGTCCAGCCTTATTTTATTTATTTATTTATTTATTTATTTATTTATTTATTTATTGTACCAGGGATTGAACTCAGGACCTTGTGCTTGCCAGGCAAGTGCTTATTCTACTGAGCTATCTCCCTGGCCCCTGACAGTCCAGCTTTGAATCTTGTTTCCATTTCTTTATTCCTGCAACATACAGCAGGTTATTTCTATCTCTGGGATTTAACATTGACAATGAAGTTGATTTCTTGTTGGCACAGTTGTATCAAGTATAGATTAAAGAATGAATGTTCCTCTTGTTCCTAATAGGTGCAGGATATAGAATATAAGGGCAAACTACCATTCAGATATTATTATTAGAACTAATGATTGAAGATTCAGTTTCACTCATCTCTAATAAAATAGCTAGAATCTGGAAAAAAAAATAGACATAGATCCCAGCACAGAAAACTGAACCCAATCAAATGGAGCACTTGATTTTTCAAATTAATTCTAACTGACTGGGGAGATAGCTCAGAGTCTGCCTGGCAAGCCTAAGGACCCAGGTTCAAACCCTGGTACTGAGCTGGTCACCAAAACTGGTCGTGATAGTGAATGCTGTAATCCCAGGGGGAGGAGACAAGAAGATCACTATGAGTCTGAGCTGTATAGTGACACACTGTACCAAATACAGGGGGAAAAAAAATAATTCTAACCTTGAAAATCCTGTTTGCCTATATATTATTTTACTTTTGGAAGGATACCAGTAGAGAAAAATAAAGCACATACATTAGTAATTGCTTCTAACATTTTAGTTGTCAGCCTCTACAAATCTCCAGTAAGTGACTTTATTTTGAGGTCCAAGAATTTTCTTTGATAAAAATATTAAATATATTGTTTTGTTTTTGCCTTAAATTATGTTATATATCTAAAAATACCCTAAAGTGAAGTCATTGTTTGCATCATTTGGATATTCATGGGGTGTCTGAATCTACGTGGCTTCTGGCCAAGGTCATGGCTATCTGAATGCTCAGAGCAGTGCTGAGTGACAGTGGCCTAATGTATATTCCAACAAATAGGTACATAGATGGGACAGCTAGATGCTGAGGCACAGAACCTAGACAGGCCATCTTGATGGGGAGGCTGTTTGCACAGGAAATTGCCTAACTTAGCGTAACTTAATTTTTATGTAGTTACTTACTCAGAACTAGACTTGTCTGTTTGAAATCAGACTCATTTCTCTGTCACATCTCACAGTCCCTCTCGGGGCTATTTGGACATCAAGTCTGTCCAGTGATAACTGGCTGGTATTGTGGCTGGGCTGAGTTGGAAGCGCTGGGTGCCAGCAGCTGTTGGTGGCCACAGAGGTGTGGCTGGTGTCTCATGTTTGAGCGTGGATTTCTTTTCTTATGTGGACAAGTGGTGTTTTGCTGTTATTTTCTTTTTCCTTCCTCCTGAAGGGTGCCCATCTGTGAACCTTCCCAAGCTACATCCCGGCTCAGTGTCCACATGGAATTGGGTAATATTTTGCTGTTCTGACATTAGAGCTGTTACCATTTTGAGTTGTTCCGTCTTCCTTTATTTTCCCTACATGGTCACATGATTTTATTTCATCCTTTTCTATTGTTAGGAGGAGCAATTTAAGGTTGGGCTATGGAAGGCTCATGGTATATTCTTTAGGAAATGTTTCATTACATAGAAAAGATGCAGAGGTAGCAAGAACCATGAGTGAAGATGGTTCCCAAGCATTGAGACTAGTGGATGTAGCCCGTGTGATACAGAGGCCTGCGATGTAACCTCATCACCTCATGCCACTTTTACAAAAAGTTTGTGACCCCAGGGAGCTAAGGTGGGTTATAGCTATAGGTGTTTAATATATTAGTACTTGAAAGCTTCTTACTGGGTTAGAAAGAAATTTAAAAACGTGATTTTTGATTA